AGAGAGAGAGAGAGAGAGAGAGAGAGAGAGAGAGAGAGAGAGAGAGAGAGAGAGAGAGAGAGAGAGAGAGAGAGAGAGAGAGAGAGATTGGGGGAAGGGTGACAAGGGTGACAACCTAGACAGTCTTTGGATGTATGATGGCGTAATGGCACCAACCCATCATAAGGAAGGGGCAGCAAGCAGACATCAAAAGAGTTTGGGTCAATCATTGCTGAGACGGAGCAGATGGGGAAAGGTCAGTGGGGGGATAGGAAGAGCGAGGAAGGGAGAGAGGGACGGCTGCAGTCATGCATGGCTCCTGACACCGAACACTGTCTCCTTTATGAAGACCTTGAGCCACAAGCTCTCTTCGTTATGCTGGGATAGCTGTTCTCTGCCTCACTTTTTCCAAAATTTCGTCATCTACTGAAAAGTCATGTTCCTTGCGGTAGGTGCCCCTTCCGAAGTCGAGCTCATAGGAGTCCCTCAGTCCATCCACCAGACTAAACTTTGGGACCCACCCAAGATCCTGTTTTGCCTTTTCAATTGATGTGAAGAAGTGCTGCACATGGAAAAAGAGCAAGAAATAACACCGACCGCACATCCGTTATTCATATTACTGAGATCCGTCAATTCTTATGTCAACACAGTGCAATCTGTTGCAGAAAGGCCACCCAATGACCAATTTCATCCATTCATCAGTTTTTCGAGTGATATGCACGACTGTCGTTCAACCTTTCCGCCGTAATAAAATGTGCCCCCTGTTCTAGCCCCTACCGCCTTCCCGCCGTACATAACCCTAAACCCTGAAAATGAACGTATACAAGGTATGGCTCTTTTTTTTTTTTTTTTTTTTTTTTCACACACCAATATTATGTCTGCCAACACTCAGTGCTGTCCAATGCAAATGAAATGCGATGCCAGGCCAAGGTATTAGCCTCAGCGGCTACAGGGGCAACCATCAACAGCACAGCACCACGCTTCTCCGCCCTCACACAAACAATGGCAACCTTCCACTCTACAAGGTATGTTTCCTGCACGATACAATTGAAATGAGGGTGCGTTGTGTTCGAGGGAAGAAGGTACAGCCATCTCACCTGGTTGCATTCACAAATGCTTGCATACCCTCGCCTTCTTTTATATGGCCATCTGTCCATCCATTCATGCCTCTGTGTGGCATGTATGGGCTTCCCATACAGGCCCTGGGGGCCCTCACTTCGGGGTCCTGGGGCTCTAGGAGCTGCACGACGCATATTTTGGGCAGCCCTGGCACTGTGGTCCTTCCCCCCCCTCTCTCTTCAAATGGCGACGGCCTTGAGAGATCATTGTCAAACTGACCGGCCCCAGGTGACTCAGACTTGGGATTTCATTCATCTGGTTCCTCTGGATTCGAACTCAGGTTTGTATCTCAACAGTTCATTGGTGCAGAAACTGAGCTAGGCCACTTGGTCGTGGTTGTTTTTTCTGACACACATGGGATCCTTCTTCTTTTTTTTTTTCTTTTTAACAATGTGCTATTTTTGTCTGTTTTGTTATCGATATCTGGGAGAAAAATGATATGTAAGGAAAAATGAAAAATATATCAACAAACGAGGGGCTGTGACAAACTGTTTCGTCGGAGTTTCACCGACTCATCAGGTATATATATATCGTCAAATAGAACTGCCCGGTAAACCGTAGGCAGAGAGGGAGAAGAGGACAACAAACGAGGGGCTGTGACAAACTGTTTCGTCGGAGTTTCACCGACTCATCAGGATATATTTTTTTATTTCTTAAAATTTATTTACCTATATTTGGCAAAGACTTTCGATGTGACCCTGAGACAAAAGTTGCAGGGGCCTCGTCATGGCGGGCGGGGAGTCATCCATTAGGGAGTAGGTGCAGATTGTGGGAGAGGCTTACCCTACATCGTGAGGAGGTGGGTGGGTTTGCGGGGCCTTCGGCCCCTGACGCGCGGAAGGTAGGGTAATCCCCTGGTTAGCAAAAACAGCATCGTGGTGGGAGGTGGTGTTTTTGTAACAGAGTGGTGGGAAGGTGCTATCTGCTCTGGATCGCAAGGAGATGGGCGGGTATAGCGGGGTCTTCGTCTGCAGTTGGGGGCCTGTGAGCACAGACCCCTGCCGCGCGGGTGGCAGCGTGGGTTGGCAGGGGTCCGATGTCATTTTGGATGAGCAGGGGACATCACCATGTAGTGCGGGTTGTTTCTTTTTTATTTGTGGCTTCTTTTTGACATGGGATTTGTGGTGTGCTGCGGTCCAGTTTTTGGTCTGGAACGTGATGCCTCGCCCCTAAAAGAGGACTGCAGAATCTTTGTAAAGGACGCCAGACCCAATTCCTGGCATTGCAATGGTTCACAGAGTTTTTGAGGAAAAAAAAAGAAAAGTTGTTCAGTGTATTTTTCTGCACAACATAGTTTTTTTTCGAAACGCCCCTCCGAAATCCATTTATTTGCGGCATGCCCCTCAACTGCCCGACTTACCCTGTCATGCCCCTCCGCAATGATTCGAGTTTCTGAAAAACCCCCGGCGTCGTTTGGGTCTAAAATATGTTCAAAATGCCCCTACCGGTACCTTCCATCTTTCCAGGATGCCCCTGTGCCCATTGGGGGCAGTGGCGGCTGTTCCCCTGGCCCTGGGAGGACGGTTACCGGGGCATATCGAAAATTTGTCACACAGCCCAACTTTCTGCCGTGCCCTCAATTCGATGGAAACTCTCTCTCTCTCTCTCTCTCTCTCTCTCTCTCTCTCT